TGTGTGTGTGTGTGTTTGTCACCTCCAGTTTGAGTGCTGTGGTCTTATTGAAGGCTACAAAGACTGGGGCTCTTCTATCCCTGCTTCCTGTAACTGTCAATATCCAGGAAAATGCGTGAGTATCTCCCTTGATGTGAGCAGAATATAAGCAGTGAAGATGACTCATTCGGAGTTTGTTGCTGTAGCCACACATTGTCTCTCAGTCAAGTATACTTCAGGGAGAATTATTTTTTATTTAATTACCTGTTTTTAATGGTCATCATTGCTTTCAGACAATAACACTAATTCTAATAACAGTCAATACTCTTTTATTTTACTGGATACCCATTTACTTCTGCTATTGGGTCCACAAAAACTAACCAAATAAAGCATTGATACAACTGTGACAGCAAGGTCCAAAGAAAAGAGATTGCAAATAGATAAAAACAAAGCAGATGATCTTAATACAACACAACACAAAATGATCAATACCAATAAGTGTTGTAAATGACCACATACAATGTAAACAAAATTAAAAAAATATATGTATGTGTTTGAGTACTGCAGTAAAGCTAAAAAAGATAATATATATATATATAATATATACAAAAATATAAGATGTAAAATGTAAAAATATAGCTGTCCTTATGAAAACAAACAGACATGGGAATGTAATATGGCTTCAACAATGACAGTCAGCTATACATATCAATGCAAACAAGCCATAAGTGTAGCAACCTGTAAACAGGTTTTTTTTAATAAAGTTTCCAGTTGTTATCTTAACTACCTGTTTAGTTAATGTTTATTAAAGCAGTACCCTTGAGGTAGCTCTACAGTTCGGCTGCAGATCATAGCAGAGTTGGGAAGTAATATGTTATAATAACTGATAGGAGTGATGGTCAAAACTATGTAAATAAGACCCAGGATGTAAAAGGAACAGAAAATGTCCTTAGCACCATAGTGAGCTTTTTTTTTGGCTTTTTGTCACATTATGTAATGGGATTTTGTACTCACCAGATTCGACTACGAGGCAGCGCCACACTCGGGGCTCCAAAGAACCAGTATGTTTATCAAGAGGTAAAAGATTTTAAGATTGTTCAGAAAAATATACAGGCTTACTGGTCCACGCTCTTATTTTCCCACCAATCTTCTCTCTAACTTTAACATGACCCTGCACCCTTTTTTTTCCACAGCCTTGCCTACCAATTTATGTTTCTGAACTGAAGCTTGCGTTCTCGTTGGCCATGGGTATACAATTTGGAAGTGGAGTGTTTTGGGTATGTTAGTTTTTTTACTCTGTAGGACTAAATTTTGCACACCAATTCTACCTCATATAGGTTTATTATATTCAAAATCAGGCTATGGTTGAAATATAGAAGTGCCCTAGCTGACAATGACATTCACCAACTATGTTGAATTATTGATCTAATCTGTGCTACATCATTTAATGTTTGTTTTATTATTGAAATACAAAAATAAAGTCTTTTTGTTATGAAATAGACATAGTACACAAGGGCTCTGGTGGTCAAATTCGATCTTAGGTCAGCAGAAAATCATGTGGATCCCAGTTGTAACCATCACTGGACACCATAGCGTGCTTGTAACTCTTGTGCTTCCCTTTCCCAGGTGGTTTTACTTGTCATGAGCATCAAGCTGATGGGCCAGATAAAAAGGAAACAGGAGTTCATGGCTCTTCTCCAATCAAACAGATATGTTCCGGGTGCCTTCTAGTCACCAAGTACGTTTTGATACACTTCAAGTTATTATCAATAGTACCTTGTTTGAATTTGCACATGTAAACACGTTATGCTGTATACCATAATCTAGCTATTTTGTGCTATATCGACATATGTTGACATTATAATTTTCTATGAATACGTGTTAATGCATGTTACTGATATTGGAAAGTAATCTACATGCATAGGTCAGTTTAAAATGTTTTTTTTGTTGCCTTACTGCTGTAAAAAAAACAGTGCAATTTAATGAAATTAATTAATCTTTAATAATCATCACATTTTCACATGCTTTTGTCATATCTCTAAAATTCTTTTATTCTTCCCAGAATTAAGCAGCTGTTTGTTTTCTTTGAGTAGCTGGAGCCTAAGTGTTGTCTTATCTGGATAATATTCCTTCTCTCCATTTCCTTCGTACCTTGACACATCAGTGATTCTATGGAAAGGCAGATATTAGCTAGATACTGTACCTAAAACTTTCAAACAAACAAAACACATTTTTGTTTGTTTATCATAGCACAACAATTGATGCTAAGATTCTATCACCAGTGGAAGCAAAGAAATATCACTGGAAGTTCAACTAATGGCTTTAACACTTTGTCGACTGGACCAACTTATTTTAAAACATACATATTTAAATATTCATACTCATCTTAAGCTCACTCATTGAATTTACAGCATTAGAGCAACCAATAATCGTTGAACAAATAATAATGAGTAACCCTTATGTAGCACCTTTCTTAAACAGTGTTTACAAAGTGCTTTGATTGAAATATAATCATTTATTTATTGTTGAGCATAAATGTAATTTTCTTGGGTAAATAATCAGGTTAGACAAAGGAATGAGCCACAGCTCTCATTGGGACACCCGAATGTCTTGATGCCTTGTTAATAAGCACATTGTATATTTGAAACATCATCACTTTATTCAGTTCCTCTTAAAGCACATTTAGTGAGTAAATGATACGTGATCATGTCCACTAGGAGGAGAGGGGACTCTGATTGGTTGCACATTTAGTAGACATACAGTAAATCCTTAATTATTTTGCCTCCAAAATTTTGATATCAAGGTTTGGAGAAATGTTGGCATTGACCACTGCAGACAGGTTGTGAGAGGCTCTTGTAGGAAAACGTGTCATCAATATTCTTGCAGACTGGAATGTCCCAACTGATGCCACTCTCACCGAAGAAGCCTTTATGCCACATCACTTCTAATATGACTTGCTGCATGAGCTGCCTGCGGTTGAAATGTCTCCTTGACTAACGTACTGTCAAATGATTTTCATCTGGAACAGCAGATCCAATGTCTACCTGTGCACTTTAACCATTAATGCCTAATATACAGTATGTTCTTGCAAAGTATGGTATTTTTATTTCTGTCATACATAGTTTTTTTATTTATGGAATGAACTTATGTAATATTTTGTAAATAGCAGGAATAAAACATGTGATTCTTGTTCCTTTGATGTCTTAGTTTTTATTTGAAATTGTTTCTTAGAAACATACATTTACTCAGCTGTACTTAAGTACAATCATGTGGTACTTGTACTACCAGTAAGCTTACACAGTTGACACCTGATTGGGAGGTGGAGGGATGAGGATAAGCGCCTGAACCTTTTATGCAGGAGATGAGGGAGTGACAGGAGGCCAGGACTCAGCAATACTAAAGAACAGGTTAGGCATTTGGATTTACTTCTTTGGCATCTATATTATCTGTATTCTTGTCTTGAGCAAGATAAACAAATGCACCTGATCCTGGAAACACTATTGTCATGCAATACCAATGAAATCCTGTAAATATGCATTGACTATAAAATGACAAGTAGAAAAACAAAGTTTACATAAAGTTTGGCAGAATATGATACAAAGCATTTCAGAAAGCTACTAAACCATAAAGTACAGTTATTAAAGCTCTAATAAATGCATAAAGTAAAAAACAAAAATCAAGACGTCATATCTACCAGGGAATTAAAAAAAATAACATTTTCTTCCTTGACTTACATCATAGATGAAAGGGGCTAAAGTACAATTCCAATCTGGGATGAAATTCCACTAGAGAGTACAAATGTATTCATTTTATCACTTCACTTCTTATTTGAAATATGTAATGCCCAATGAAGACAGTGGAAGGAAATGTAGGAGAAGCTTGTAATTGATTAATTACATATTATTCATTAATTATTCTGTTAATGTGCTACTTATGTATCTTAGTTTTCATCATTTTTGATCATCACAAAGAAAGTGGAATACTATTTCACAGTGCTGCAAAGCCCAGAATTTTCCCTTTGTAAGACAAACAATGTGTCTTCCTGTGTTTTTTTGAAACCAAACAAAAAAAAAAAAAAAAACCCATGCAACTTTCATGCAATGCATGATACATTTAAGCATCATCATAAATTCAACTATGTATCCGTATACCAATCCCATGTTTTTTTTTCTCCGCATTGCTGAAATATGCTTCATCATTGTAAAAAGCAGATAAAAATAAAACAAAGAAATCAGGTGTACTCTGCAGAATCTGCGAGAGCGCTGTAGTTGCCTGCTTTTGCCTCCGCACTGTATACCACTGCAGGGACATCTTCTTTCCGATTCAGCTGACACAAGATGGCAATACACAATGCTGCTGACAATGCCTAAAAGGACAGCGACACAGAGAAGGTTCTTTAACCAACTTGTCATCTTTTGTTGAATAGAGCTGCAATTTTAGAAAGAGACAGAGGGGGGCAGAAAAGACTGAAAAAACACAAGCTGAATTCCATTTATCTATGAGTTCATCATCAATGCTCTTCACCTGTGCTCTTCCTGCTATCTCAAATCAAATTGTCTGCTGTGAAAAAGGCCTGCTGACGTCTGTGTGTGTGTGTGTACCCTGAGTACTTGGTGCAGGTATTCAGGATTTTGGATTTTGAAAATGGAAGGACATAGAAATTATGCCCTTGTTGCTATAATTCTGAGTGTGTAATTTGGTTGATAGTGTGAAAGTTCTTGTTCCATTCACATATTAAGTTTAAAACAGTACACCATTTAAAATGATTTATCCACCTTATGTTTTTAGGTTTGATAAACTATTAAATGGCCATTGGCATTTGGCCATCTACAGTGTTGTGACAACTGGGCAAACTCTTCAATATATTCAAAAGCTCCACTAGTGCTACTTGAGCTTGAGGGCTTTGAATCAATTAAAAAGAAATGAACATCACAATGACCATGAATGAATAAGTTAGTGTAAGGAGGCAGGTAGGTGGGGACAATCATGATAGACACATATAGACAATACATACCCAGAGTAATGCGAGTCCCAGCGCTATGACCATTGTAATTTTTCCTGTAATCCCTACCATCTGAATTATGAGTGGAGCGCATGGCTGAAACAGAAGAGCAGATAAATGTAATGTTTCATACAGCATCTTCACTGTAAAACATGTTTGTAGTTTCAACTAATAAGAAGCGTTCAGGATACTCTTAATGTCAAACAAACAAAACAACTGAATAAACCATATTTTTAGGTTTGGTTGAACTGGTAACAAGCGGTAAACATATAAAACCAGTGACAATGAGTTTGTATTGTGGTGAGGTGTCCCAAAAAGGCTGGAAACCATTGTTTTAAAGTACAGGAAGAATATTTAATAAAAATGTTCTTCCCTTCTTTTATAAGTATTACGCTCCTTCGGGAGGTTTTGTAAATGCAGCCCTATGCAGCAATACAGAACAGTGTGGAAAATTTACTCATATATATAACTTCTTAAGTATTGTAAAACCTTTATCTAAACATACAATCTTAACAAGTTTTTTTTTTGTTTTGGTCTTATGAAATTGTGTATATATAGTATTTCAGTAAGTATAAATGCAGACAAGCTTTTTCTTGCATTACCATTTGTAATGCAGTTTTTACCATAGCATCAGTGAACACTAACAATTATACGCAGTTTACACATGTAAATGTAGACATGAACATTTACATTTTTATTACCTCTTTATAAATCATGATGGGTGTGTCATCAACGCTGTGCTCAAACAGACTGCTGTTTCTAGGAGCTTCCACCTACAATACACAGACATGAATCATTATCTCCTGCGTCAAAAAAACAACATGGAGAGAACAACATTTAAAGCTATCATGCTGATCATTAGTGGGTTTACTATGTTCACTATATTAGCTACGCGTGTTAGCATTCTAACATTTACTAATGGGAATAAAATTATAGTTTTAAAGGTAAATATGGGACAAGTTCTAAATTTTAACCTGATGATGGTGATAGGAAGTCTAAGGGATCATCAGTCATTAGAATTCATCCTGGGGGAACATGAAAGTGATGGCTTGGGATCCTTTACATTAATGTGGGGCAGCCTTTTCTGACTTTCTTGCATTCTTAAACTTGATCCACAATGATATAATGCATTCTTTTTTACCAGTGAATAGAAGTGAATAATGAGCTTTCACACTCACACATGGGTTAACGGGCTCTTCAGCGCACAGGCAGGACTCTGGGATGTTGTAGCCCCAATCTAGATAGCCCTGAAACACTCCGCAACAATGCCACTGCGAAGGAAGAGGAAAGGAATGGGTGAAGATTAGAATAGTGTACATAGTAAGACAAATCTCCACCTCCTGATTAATAACCTATTCAGCTTATTTTCTGAGCTGCGTCTGATTTATGCTACTGAAATGTTTAAAATAAACTCTAAAGCACTTGAAGCTCATTCTGTATGCGAAGCAGCAACTTGATAATTCACTTGATAACTGCACACACTCTCACATACCCACACAAGGTTACCTACTTCTGTCTCTGTCTCCTTGAGATTGTCTAAAATACTGTCACTAGCATTAGCCAGTGGCAGCATTTCCAGGTATTGCTTCTTCATCTCTTTTGTCACCTGCACAACAAAACAAAGTAATATCAAAAAATCATTAGCAATTTAAATGTTAATGTAATTTGTTTTTTTGGCAAATTTGTGAGTCACAAAATGCATTCAGTATGCGTACATGCATACATGCTTAAAAGTAGTTTTACAGTAATTTAAATCTAAAATTGGAAGGTGTCTGTAAGGTACTACAGTTCAAATTCAATTTTTGAGTACTCAACCAACGTATTTTGTGATTTCAACAAAATACATCTTCCATCCATCTTCTATGGATCATCAGCTGGTGAGAATGTGGCATGTCTTTTAGCATAATGTGCAAATTTTATCTAATTTTACAGGCTTTTCCTTCAAAAACAAATCAGCTGGAATCAGTAAATAAGTGAGTGTTCAACCCATCGATTGTTAAAAGATGGATGTTGCGTCTCCACTTCCTCCCACTGTACAAAAATGAAGCCAAAATACCCCGGACATGGCAGCTACCATCTTTCAATCATGATGTGAAACAACACTTGAACATATATTAGTGTGATTAGAATTTGTTTAGGTTTGGACTTCTGCAAAACATGAGAAGGCAGGATTTTATTTGGCTTCCTTTTAGTGAGTTGTAGATGTTTGTTAATGAGGGTTACTTCAATCGTATTCCTGTTAAACAGCATATGTGTTTCTCCTGTCTGGTAGCACCCAGTAGTCAAGAGACTAAAGGCAATAAAGCCTTTTCCTGTTTATATTTCTCTATTAGCTTAATGAGGAATTCAGTTTTAATGCAGCCTGCAAGCTCATATGGTTTTATGAGTCTCCATATGTGCAAATGTGCACTGGGACAAAAAGAAAATGTCACAAAAGAACAACACATCTCAAAGTCAACTTGGAAATACCAATGGTACAAAAGTCAGTGCTCGAATTGAAGACGCAAACACGAACAGACTGCTCAGGATCATCCCAACTGCAAACTGAGACAAAAACACACACATAAACACGCATTAGCAATCAGATTCTGGTTTAGTTCAGTTTTTTACTACTACTACTACTACTACTACTACTACTACTACTATAATAATAATGTGTTTTTTTCTTTACCCACCACTATTAGCGCCCACTGCTTCTCTGCACAGGCACCATACACACCCATGATGGTCAAGAACAGAGGAAAGATGGAAAAGAAATACATGACACGTATGCCTACGAGCATATTCTCTATCTGCAAAGAAAACAAACAGAGAATCAATTCAGCCAGCCCGGTGAACAGGGTAAGGGTTCAATGCCCTGTGTCAGCATGCAGCTGAAGTGTCCAAATTAAGTTAGTAATTTCTTCCATCTGGTGAACTAGAAATGAAAATGTAGGCTTACAACCCTCTTTTTTTTTAGTGTTGAGTGTGTGTTTTTGAGTTGGACTTTTTGAAACTTGCTTTGTTATGTCACTAGTCTACTAATGGATGCCTGAAATAGCAAAAGTACAGTAACATGGTTTGAAAAATGGTTAATGAGACATTATGGTATGCTAAAATACATATGCAAAACTACCGATATGATCCCTTAAGTTGTATGCTGTATAATAAAAAAAAAATATATATATATATATAGATATACCATACTACAAGTTTTTATGCATATCGCCCACTCATAATAGATAGAAATATAGACACATATAGCAGGTAAATGTATCCACAGATAGATACTGACATCTGTATTTTTTTTTATTTGTAATGCATGTGTTACCTCATCATGTTCATAGTGGTATCCATGGCCAAACAGAGTGAGTGCCAACAGCAAGGCACTGATGATCTGCAACAGGAGCACAACACTTTATTATTTATTAGCGTCCTTTCTGGACTGTGACTAATTATTTGTTTTTATTATCCATCAATCTGTCTAATATATATATATATTTTTTACAATACTGGCTAAAATGCTGCATCGTGTATTGGTGAGTATGAGTCTAAATTATTAGCCCTGAAATGTGACTCTGTGACTTCCCAGGGTTTAACCTGAGCCAAACCAAACAATAATGATACCAAAGCCGTAATAAATACTAATTACTGGCTTTCACTGTGCTTTCAAAATTCTTGAAAAAATGAATGGCAAATGAGTGTAACTATATTATCTGTGTTACATTGTTGTTATCACTGAAAGGATAGCCTTCACTGCTGAAACTTGTTGTGAAATAAGCTCATTGATTGACCTAACCTCTGAGATGACTATTTGTGCTGACGGTGTACTCCATGTGTTCTGTGCTGACCCTCCACGTCAGCTGTTACTGGCTCAATAACATTGTAAATCGTTGTCATCATTTGTGAGACATTACAGTGTCAATTTCTGCTGAAAGAGCTCTGTTGCCACACCCCGAAGAAGAGCGTGTTGCTCCCACAGCGTGTAAAGAGAGTCCAACTGTGTATGAATATTACTGAACAACAGTGACAGTTGTACCTGGAGGCAAAACCACATGTTGCAAAATCCAGATCTATCACATGTAAAATGTATTAATATCTTAATAATAGATTTTTTTTTAAATTCAAGTACAGATTCAGATTTTTTTTATTTATTTTGTCCCAGTTTAGTTTCTTGGGGTATTAGAGTTGGAACTGACATATAGATATTCTTTATGTATTCTATTCTTGACTTAGTGCTACAAATACAGCAAAAGGAAAACAATGTATTGATTAATTATTTAGTCAATCAACTATTTTATTATTTTCAAGAAGAAATGCCAGTTTCTCAATTTTGAGGATTTCCTGCTTTTCATTGTCTTATATGATAGTAAACTGAATATCTTTGGGCTCTTGGGTTCAATTGGATTTGATGGGCACATTTTATACTGACCAAACAATGGGTCGACCAATAATAAAAATAAGCGTCAGTTGAACATTACAATAAAGTCAATTTGGATTACTGATATCTCTTAATAATGAGTCACTGACTTCCTGCTATGATCAATTATTTATTAGCTACTCACTGCTGAAACCTTATGAATTATAACAATTATGTGTTTATCTCCTGGAAGGATTTGTTTTTACTACACCATCATGTCCATTTTCCTTTCCATGCACTGGGGGTGGCTTCCTCCCCAAACTGTTTAATACCACAAGTTTTGATTTTCTTAAAACAACTCATAATTCCACTAGTTTTGTGCCATAATCAACAATTAAGGCACAATAACACATGACTTAATAAGATGCACTGGAAGCAATTTAACCATTCAACTAGTAGAGTTAAGCATCTGATTCAACAGCTGGCTTATTTATATTTATTTATATAAGCTAAAAATTCTCCTCTGTTTATTCTGAATTAACGAGATACCTCCAGCAGCAGGACCTAACCCAAATCCTGTATCCAGCCTCCAGC